TGACGAGCAGCCTGAGTGACGATGGAAATGTGTCATAACCTGACTGTGTCACGACCTGTGCCACGACCTGACTGTGTCACGACCTGTGCCACGACCTGACTGTGCCACGACCTGACTGTGTCACGACCTGTGCCACGACCTGACTGTGCCACGACCTGACTGTGTCACGGCCTGACTGTGCCACGACCTGACTGTGTCACGACTACATATCCGGCGCCACAAACACTTTTAACCTCCGTGGCAAAAACTGTGACTGTTTTAACTATCGTACAGGTCTGTGGACTGAGCAATACGAGACCATCACTACGAACAACGCCTTTGCCTGCTCACAATACGGGTCACAGAACTACCTAACTCATATTAAACTGAGACTTTTAGATCTATGTTTTGCACTTAGAGGAAACTAAATGTTGAAGAGAGAAATTAGGCTAAACTTGAATTCATTCGAATTTAAAATTGAACAAAACCGCCTTTTAGATTTTTCAATAGAGCTTAATTGTCGACTTGAGAATGGTCCAGGACGGACAGAAACGTCGTCGTCCCTTCACCTTCTAGTGCGATAAAGAATTCAAACATGAGAGTTAAACTATAGCCCAAAGAGTGCGGCCAGTTAGCGGAGGATGTACGAAGCTAGACCTAAACTTCCGGTAGGCAATAATATGTAAATACTATTAGACTAACGTTCCACAAATAACATATTCTTTTTTTGGGAGGAAAATGGAAAATGTTACAGTTTTAATGCCTGTATCTCTAACACTCATACATTACAAGTGATATATAGGTGGAAGTAGGCCATGAAGTCCGGTGTTGTAGACATAAAAGAAAGTTTAACCTATTCGAATTTTCAAGATAATTACAAAATGAGCATAAACAAAAAATTGGAACATTGAATACAAAATAATTTGACACAAATGCAATAGTCTTACATTGATTCTTCCACGACACTGACATCAATAATTGAGCGAAGCATCAAATGACCTCATTAAGCATTAGAGGGAATTATTTTGGCTATAACGAAGCCATTACAATATATCTGATAGATATAAAATGTTACTGCGTTATATTTAGCTATACACAAGTGTGTGTTTACACAGAGATATTTATCTAAAGGAGAGTTTTATCAGGACAATTCATGAGCTCTCACAGTAGGACCATTGATGAACTCTCACAGTAGGACCATTGATGAACTCTCACAGCAGGACCATTGATGAACTCTCACAGTAGGACCATTGATGAACCCTCACAGTAGGACCATTGATGAACTCTCACAGTAGGACCATTGATGAACTCTCACAGTAGGACCATTGATGAACTCTCACAGTAGGACCAATGATGAACTCTCACAGCAGGGCCATTGATGAACTCTCACAGCAGGGCCATTGATGAACTCTCACAGTAGGACCATTGATGAACTCTCACAGCAGGGCCATTGATGAACTCTCACAGTAGGACCATTGATGAACTCTCACAGTAGGACCAATGATGAACTCTCACAGCAGGGCCATTGATGAACTCTCACAGTAGGACCATTGATGAACTCTCACAGTAGGACCATTGATTACCTCTCACAGTAGGACCATTGATGACCTCTCACAGCAGGACCAAAGATAACCAGACACTGGTTATCTCGTTCTAACCGTCACTGCGTTACCTAAATCAACGCCCACACTAACAAGGGTAAATCGCAAAAACAAGCTCTTAGCCTTAAGGGGCAACTAAAGGAATTGAAATAAATTACCTAAGTCTTAAAACCCCTATTTTAAGAAGTCATGTGAAATAGGAGGAGGATCCAGAGCCACGACGAGGAGCAGTAGATCAATATTGGATCAGCGAGGCTCTTGAAGGGTGCCAGTTACATCTCAGCGGCAATTACGTAATGTATTCAGACAATTAAAGCGCTGACAGCATCCACTGAGCGAGAGAATATGGCATCATGTGAATCTGTTTGTGTGGTGAGGGGGTGTGGAGAGAGAGGGTGTGTGTGTGTGTGTGTGTGGGTGTGTGTGTGGTGTGTGTGGGTGTGTGTGTGGTGTGTGTGGGTGTGGATTTGTGTGTTCACTAAAATGCGGTTGCGGGAGATGAGCTTCAACTCTGTGACCATCGCCTCTCAACTGTCAATCACCTGGTGTGCAGGTTCCAAAACCCCCCTAATGGAGTCTGAATCACCCCCGTCTGAAACTGTGTACGGAGGCTGCCTCCACCACGTCACTTCCTAATGCATCCCATTCGTTAACTGCTCTGACACTCAAACAATTCCCCCCCCCCCCGGGTGTAAACACCACACCGTAAGAGCGCACAGTCACGGCTCTTCCCTACTGTGAGCGCCTCACCGTAAGATCAGACGGAAGCCGCTTAACTTCTTACGTTCACGGTCGAGGAGTCTTGATCTCTTCCACGGCATTAGCTCTCAAAGCTCAAAGTTTTCAGTAGTTAGCGAGCTGGCAGACAGAGCTCACCCAGAGCCGGCAGACAGAATACCCTTCTAGAGCTGGCAGACAGAACTTTTGTATAGTTAGCAGACAGAATCCTTCCAAAGCTGGCTTGGAAATCTTGCAACCTTGATGGTGCAGTCAGCAGGCTGTCGGGCACTACATAAATTGAAGTCCAATATTGATGAATTGCCATAAGTCATGACGATCTCTGGATCCTCATAGTGACTCACAAGTCATGTCTAGAAGCTCATAACATGACAAACCTCCTCCCCCCCCCCTCTACCCCTCACCCCTCTCGCTCACGGTGCATGGCTGGTAAAAAAAGAAAAGAAAATATGCAGCGAGAGGATATTAAGTATCGGAATTATGTTGAATACTGCAACAGCAACATCTCCTCTTGCACGGATTCTTACTGCTGGGGTGTGTGGAGTGTATATATATTTTTTTGTTGAGTATATGCTTTTTAAGTTTAACTAGTCGCTAGGAGGGACTCCTAGCCAGTGACACCCAGCCTCTGCCACCACCCATCTGGTCGCTAGGAGTCCTCATCGGCCACTCAAATGGTCGCCAGGAGTCTCCGACGTCTCCGATCTCCGAGACGTCGTGGCCCCTCTCTAATGGATCGGATTTAAGTAAATATTAAGTCTAGAAACTCTATAAGTTCGACCCGGGACTCTATAAGTAGCCTACTTGTGCATTTAACCCTTTGGCTGACTGTTATTCATTTGTGACATTGACTCTATAATGTTGTTTATGTGTAAACTGATATCTGGTTACGTATAACTGATATATTGTTATGTAAAGCTGATGTATTTGCGTGTAACTGATATCTGGTTACATATAATTGATATGTTTTTTGTATAATTGATGTCTGGTTACGTATAACTTATTTCTTGTTATTGTAAAGCTGATATGTTTTGTTATACCTGATAACGGGTTATGTCAAGCTGATATGTTTACGTGTAACTGATATCTGGTTAATAAAACTTATATATGTTTATGCATAGTTGATATGTGGATACGTATACCTGGTATATGTTCACATATAACTGTTATATGTTTATGAATAACTCATATATATTTACGAATAACTGATATATTAAGAAGCAATAGTTCCTTAATAATTAATAACCTATTATAGGGAGACGCACTGCTTTTCCTCTCAATGAGTTGTGTTATCCTGTCCTGTAGACCCGCTATCCTATTACAAATATCACTCATTCTTAAGTTGTCTTTCATAACAATTAGGTTCATATATCTGCAAAAGTAGGAGTGGCAATGGAATGGAATTATCAGGAGAAAGTGCCAATTCATTAAGACTATATAGCACATGAAAGGGATCAGGATAATTATTTGGGATGGGACGGGGGGGGGGGAGAATGATGCCCAACCACTTGTGGAATTGAACGCAGACCTGCATGAAGCGGAACCGTCGCTCTACCGTCCAGCCCAAAAAAACAAAGAGTTCATTGATTTTACATAATGGGTAATGAGTCTTTTCAGACCAATATAATAATATCACCCAACGCTTCAGAGTTTTAGAACAGAATCTAAACCTGAATGATTCATTGAATATTCCTCGTGAGTTGATTAACTTCTTTCGTACGTGTGTGTAAATCCATGGAAAAAATATTTTATCAAGGCCATTTGAAAAATGCTAGAATAATCATATTTGTCTTCTAACTTCTTTGCAAGTAATTATTAGAAAAAGAGAGCAAAATTCTGATGGAAAAGCTCAAAGAATAACTACTGCCTTATCAATAATCACTATGTTAAAAACAAATTATTGGTAGATTTATATTCTGAATAATTATGCCTCAACGTATGTTGACCAGACCACACACTAGAAGGTGAAGGGACGACGACGTTTCGTCCCTTCGACCTTCAACCGACGTTTCACAATCGACTTGAGAATGGTCCAGGACGGACCGAAACGTAGTCGTCCCTTCGACCTTCGACCGACGTTTCACAATCGACTTTAGAAGGGTCCAGGACGGACCGAAACGTCGTCGTCCCTTCACCTTCTAGTGTATGGTCTGATGAACATACTTTAGCCACGTTATTGTGACTCATCGCCTGCCTCCAACGTATAGAAAATGGCTATTATTTCCCTCAAAATTTGCTTCTCATCTTTACATCAGCTTAGAGGAAAGACAGCTTGAAGAGACCTGAAAGCTGACGACTTATGCAACAATGTATCACAGCTCTAGATAAGGAGTGGGGCAGCCTTCGGGTACTTTCACGATGTCTTCACTAAGCTGTGTCTGAGGTCTGAGATCTGAGCAAAGTTTGAGGGGAACTACAGTCATTTCTTATTCTTTGCAGAAATAAGCAATCACAAAATAAGTCAGAACTCCGCGTCGTTCTTTGGTAGAACTGGTGCTCAAGTTCGACCTCTGGCTGGTGCTTAAGTTCGACCTCTGGCTGGTGCTCAAGTTCTACCTCTAAGTGGTGCTCAAGTTCTACCTCTAAGTGGTGCTCAAGTTCTACCTCTAAGTGGTGCTCATGTTAGACCTCTGGCTGGTGCTTAAGTTCTACCTCTGGCTGGTGCTCAAGTTCTAACTCTGATTAGTGCTCAAGTTCTACCTCTGGCTGGTGCTCAAGTTCTATCTCTGGCTGGTGCTCAAGTTCGACCTCTGGCTGGTGCTCAAGTTCTACCTCTGGCTGGTGCTCAAGTTCTACCTCTCGCTGGTGCTCAAGTTCGACCTCTGGCTGGTGCTCAAGTTCGACCTCTGGCTGGTGCTCAAGTTCTACCTCTGGCTGGTGCTCAAGTTCTATCTCTGGCTGGTGCTCAAGTTCGACCTCTGGCTGGTGCTCAAGTTCGACCTCTGGCTGGTACTCAAGTTCTAACTCTGGCTGGTGCTCAAGTTCTACCTCTGGCTGGTGCTCAAGTTCGACCTCTGGCTGGTGCTCAAGTTCTACCTCTGGCTGGTGCTCAAGTTCTATCTCTGGCTGGTGCTCAAGTTCGACCTCTGGCTGGTGCTCAAGTTCGACCTCTGGCTGGTACTCAAGTTCTAACTCTGAGTGGTGCTCAAGTTCGACCTCTGGCTGGTGCTCAAGTTCGACCTCTGGCTGGTGCTCAAGTTCGACCTCTGGCTGGTACTCAAGTTCTAACTCTGAGTGGTGCTCAAGTTCGACCTCTCGCTGGTGCTCAAGTTCAAGTCACATGGCTTCCCGAAGGCTTTTGTTTAGGTGAAATGGGAGCCTTTCGCAGGAGTTATGACCATCGCTGACCGCCCTTATGACCTCCTTTGGCAGGGTTCCAACCCCGGGGTCAGGGTTCACACTAGCATTTACTCATCCATTCGCGAAACCTGTACATCTTTCCTCACTTGTGGCCGCATTCATATCACTCCTAACGCTTCCAGATGCGATATTGTCATCCTGGTTTAGCGGTTTCTACTTATAAATACCTTATCTCTCAACGTATCCTATCTATCCAGTTGAATGTTTGCATCAATTCCGGCAATACCACACACACTGTGAGCAGACCAAACGCCTGATATAGTGGTTTGTTTATCTCAATTGGGGGTTTATGAGTTCCTGATGGCTCTTGACTCTAGCGGCGTCTAAGAGCAACTCGCTAAAAATAGCGTCACCGACTCAGCGCGGGAAAAAAAACAGAATTTGAAACTATTTCAAATTTCTGTCGTGCTGCTCAACCGATTAGACAAACCGTTGTGTTCATTCAATAATTCTTTCTCTCCCTTATGCTGTTTTTTTTCAGGAGCATTAACATGCTCTTCATTTTATTTGTTAACTGGTAGGAGTTTATGTGTATCGAGCCCGCCAGAACTCTGCGTCGTCCTTGGCGCATGCGCGCGGGCTCACAGATTTCAGACCTCTTCGATTTCTCAGACGCCAGTGGCCCCGCGGCCGCCGGGCGAGGTGGAACCTTCCTGCATAAAGTTGTATTGATTACCTCAAACCCTCTCCAAAATGTTTTTTTATCATTACGAGTATTTGGTGACTCTACAAAAGCATTTTGAATTTAAAATAAAATATTATGATAATAGATATTGCAGATCCAAGATTATTTTGTCGAACAGTACATGGACAAAAGGTTACCGCTGACCATAGTAAGCTTACCACAGTAAACTTACCACACCACAGCTTGCCTCAGCAAGCTGTGGTGTGGTAAATGTGTTACCAGGTTTTTTCTCACGATCTTCTCCAACACCTTGCATGGTATACAAGTTAAGGACACTGGCCTGTAGTTCAGTGCCTCTTGTCTGTCGCCCTTTTTGTATATTGGGAATACATTAGCAGTCTTCCATATTTCTGGTAGGTCTCCCGTTTCCAGTGATCTACTATACACTATGGAAAGTGGCAAGCAAAGCGCTCCTGCACACTCTTTCAATACCCATGATGAGATTCCGTCCGGGCCAACAGCCTTTCTCACGTCCAGATCCAACAGATGTCTCTTGACCTCATCTCTTGTAATTTCAAACCCTTCCAAGGCCTTCGGGTTTACTGCCACCTCTCCTAGCTCAAGGAATTCTCCTCGTTTTATTAAGAAGACCTCCTGGAATCTCTTGTTGAGTCCTTCACACACCTCTTTGTCATTCCCTGTGTACCTGTCCTCACCCGTTTTAAGTTTCATTACCTGTTCTTTCACTGTTGTTTTCCTCCTGATGTGGCTGTGGAGCAGTTTTTGTTCGGTCTTGGCTTTATGTTTTATATTATTTTCATACTGTCTCTCTGCTTCTCTTCTCACACTAACATACTCATTCCTGGCTCTCTGGTATCTCTCTCTCTCTCTCTCTCTCTCTCTCTCTCTCTCTCTCTCTCTCTCTCTCTCTCTCTCTCTCTCTCTCTCTCTCTCTCTCTCTCTCTCTCTCTCTTTCTGCTTTCTGTTGTTCTGTTATTTCGGAAGTTCCTCCACGCCCTTTTGTTCCTTTTTTGTTGTTGTGTGTGTGTGTGTGTGTGTGTGTGTGTGTGTGTGTGTGTGTGTGTGTGTGTGTGCGTGTGCGTGTGTGTGCGTGTGCGTGCGTGTGCGTGTGTGTGCGTGTGTCGAGCATTGTCAGCCAAACGACATCCCGGTGAAATTAACAAAATATTAATGTTCTCGTCAGCATAATCGACCTCCAGTACATATCGCCATCACTCTCCCAATGTAAGAAGTGACGTTAATTATATAAGACATCCCGGCATAAGACATGATCAAGGTAACTTCAGTTTTGGTGGGTTTACAAAGTTCAAAAGCCAGACCATTGTGGAATTTATAGAGAATGCCGTAGAACATTCTCGCAGTGGTCGCTACTTGTTCTTCTTGCGTGAAGCTAGGAAGGTGACTACGAATAGCTAGGAATAGCTAGGAAGGTGACAACGTTTCGGTCCGTTTCGACCCCTTGTCAAGGTGAGCCAAGAGTCGAATGAGGGAAGGAAAGGCTTTGTAAGACATGAGTATAGGGGTGAGGTGATGTGAGGTGAGATAAAGTGAGGTATCATTGTAAACAATTCGACATGAATAACGACCCAAAGGCTTCACGAAACGAGAGAAAGGAACTAAACAAAACAAGCAGAGAAGGGATAGCAAAGGTCAAAAATAAATCAAATCAAGAGAGAACTAAAAAGCAACCAACCTAATTAGAGATTGAAAGGAAGAGAGGACAGAGAGAGACTGAAACCCAAAAATAAATCACCCTGAAGAGGAATAGGGCATTGAACTACTGAGAAAGCCAGATAGATGGTTCGAAACGTCATCATTTTCGTTTCACACGTGTTGTCTGGCGTGTGACAGTCGAGATTTTCTTACATGCTCCCTGCATTAAAATATACCTGAAGGATAAATTTGCCCAAACGTATTATTTTTGTCAAATAATATGACTTTTAGCGTCTGAAACTTTGTGGGACCATTTGTTAACAAACTCACTAATTAGTTAATCGATGATGTGAGTTTGTTTATAACCTAATTCATTAGTTCTGAAACATGATTTTTGCTAAACTAGCTCATTAATGCTGTATCTTGCTGATAGGTAAACTAGTTCATTAATGCTGTATCTTGCTGATAGGTAAACTAGCTCATTAATGCTGTATCTTGCTGATAGGTAAACTAGCTCATTAATGCTGTATCTTGCTGATAGGTAAACTAGCTCATTAATGCTGTATTTTGCTGATAGGTAACTAGCTCATTAATGCTGTATCTTGCTGATAGGTAAACTAGCTCATTAATGCTGTATCTTGCTGATAGGTAAACTAGTTCATTAATGCTGTATGCTGTATCTTGCTGATAGGTAAACTAGCTCATTAATGCTGTATCTTGCTGATAGGTAAACTAGCTCATTAATGCTGTATCTTGCTGATAGGTAAACTAGTTCATTAATGCTGTATCTTGCTGATAGGTAAACTAGCTCATTAATGCTGTATCTTGCTGATAGGTAAACTAGCTCATTAATGCTGTATCTTGCTGATAGGTAAACTAGTTCATTAATGCTGTATCTTGCTGATAGGTAAACTAGTTCATTAATGCTGTATCATGCTGATAGGTAAACTAGTTCATTAATGCTGTATCTTGCTGATAGGTAAACTAGTTCATTAATGCTGTATCTTGCTGATAGGTAAACTAGTTCACGAATGCAGTAATTTTGTTTATTGTTGAAATATTCCATGAATGCTGTAATTTGTTTATAGCTAAACAATTTGTTTATAGCTAAACAATTTGTTTATAGCTAAACAATTACTGGTAAACGTTGTTATTGTTTTAGATTCAGCTACTCGCAACAAAAACATTCCAAATAACACGGACTACAGTGAGTCAGAAATGGGGCTGGTACAGCTCCTGAGCGTTCATGTGCCGCTTGAGCGCTTACCCACTGAGCTTGATATGTACCACTTGAGCATTTACACCCCTTCCCCCCCCCCACCCCCACCCCATCGAAGGGGGAAAGCGTACTCTTTAATATCGCCTGCATGATGGGCGTGGGTCCTCTCAACTCTACCTATATATCTTTACTAATAATCTACTCTTATCCTTACTAATAACCAAAAAATGTTGGTTAAGAAAGTTTAACTTGAGAATGAGTATCTCTGAAACGTAAGTTATCAAAGTTCAGAAACTCTTTCGAGCAATATGGCGATTTCGAACTAGCTTTTCGAACTTTTGGGTCTACCCAGATGTATTCGATGTACTAAAAGTTCCACAGAAGAGAGTCTGCAGTGACACAGGAAGCTGAGCCGATCAACCGTCCTGCTTCAAGGATTTTCTTATGAATATATCACCTTATTGTGATATTATTTCGTGTTGTCAATATTACTGATGCTCCCAGAAGGTGTAGACAACATTGGAGGGGTTTAATCGAAGGATATAAACTTATCACTTAGGCCAATGAAGCACTTACTGGTTTGGCTGGATAAATAATGGTTTGGTTGGCTGGTTTGGTTGGAAAAATAGAGAGAAGATTCGGGCTAGAATTATTAATCTCACCCTTTCTACTACATTTCGTACACACACACACACACACACACACACACACACACACACACACACACACACACACACACACACACACACACACACACACACACACACACACACACACACACACACACACACACACACACACACACACACACACACACACACACACATACACACACAGGCTTTCTGTCCCAAACAAAAGCATCTCACTCACCTCCAAGCGGGCCCGCTGTTGTTCCTCAGCGCTGGAAAGAAACAAATAGTCTTTGTAAATCAAACAAAAACATGATATGTGGTGCATAAGATTACACAAAGTAGATCTAAAGATCAAGATCACAGAAAGATATCTAAAGAGTAGATCAATTAAATCAGTGTAGATGTACAGTGTACATTCAGTGTAGATGTACAGAATAGATCACACATAATAAAAGCTGACGCCCTCACTAATTATCAATATATATATATATATATATATATATATATATATATATATATATATATATATATATATATATATAGATACTGAAGCTAAAACAAAAACCTCTACCATGATAAAATACTGAAGTATTTTAGACTTGAGGGGTTGGCTAGACCCCACTCAAATCTGACGCAAGTTGGCTAGACCCCTCTCAAATATGACGCAAGTTGGCTAGACCCCTCTCAAATATGACGCAGATTAGCTAGACCACCTCAAATATGACGCAGATTAGCTAGACCACCTCAAATATGACGCAGATTAGCTAGACCACCTCAAATATGACGCAGATTAGCTAGACCACCTCAAATATGACGTAGATTGGCTAGACCACCTCAAATATGACGCAGATTGGCTAGACCCCTCAAATATGACGCAGATTGGCTAGACCCCTCTCAAATATGACGCAAGTTGGCTAGACCCCTCTCAAATATGACGCAAGTTGGCTAGACCCCTCTCAAATATGACGCAAGTTGGCTAGACCCCTCTCAAATATGACGCAGATTAGCTAGACCACCTCAAATATGACGCAGATTAGCTAGACCACCTCAAATATGACGCAGATTAGCTAGACCACCTCAAATATGACGCAGATTAGCTAGACCACCTCAAATATGACGTAGATTGGCTAGACCACCTCAAATATGACGCAGATTGGCTAGACCCCCTCAAATATGACGCAGATTGGCTAGACCCCCTCAAACATGACGCAGGTTGGCTAGACCACTTCAAACATGACGCAAGCCATCAATGGGAAACCGAGTGTGTTAATTGCAGTCGATTTAACCGAGACTATGTCGATTGTATGGGGACAATTAATTGTTAAATTGTCTGTTTAAATCGTAATTTAAATGGTCTGTTTTAAAGGAGGAACAGCTGTTGAAGGTATTGTGTATCGTATGTTAAAGCGGAGCTGTTGTGGTTTGTGTAGTGCATGCATAATTCCTCGTCGTTTAGTTGAGATATGTGGCTTGATGTGTGTGTGTGTGGGGGGGGGGGTGCGTGTGTGTGTGTGTGTGTGGGGGGGGGGGTGTGCGTGTGTGGTGTGTGTGTGTGTGTATGTGTGTATGTGAGTGTGTGGGGGGGGGTGTGTGCGTGTGTGTGTGTGTGTGGTGTGTGTGTGTGTATGTGTGTGTGTGTGGGGGGGATGTGTGTGCGTGTGTGTGTGTGTGTGTGTGTGTGTGTATGTGTGTGTGTGTGTGTGGGGGGGGGGGGGAGTGTGCGTGTATGTGTGTGTATGTGTGTGTGTGTGTGTGTGTGTGTGTGTGTGTGTGTGTGTGTGTGTGTGTGTGTGTGTGTGTGTGTACTTACCTAATTGTACTCACCTAATTGTTCTTGCGGGGGTTGAGCTCTGGCTCTTTGGTCCCGCCTCTCAACCGTCAATCAACTGGTGTACAGATTCCTGAGCCTACTGGGCTCTATCATATCTACACTTGAAGCTGTGTATGGAGTCTCCCTCCACCACATCACTTCCTAATGCATTCCAATTGTCTACTACTCTGACACTGAAAAAAATTCTTTCTAACGTCTCTATGGTGTGTGTGTGTGTGTGTGTGTGTGTGTGTGTGTGTGTGTGTGTGTGTGTGTGTGTGTGTGTGTGTGTGTGTGTGTGTGTACCTATGTAAGCGTGCAAGCGACCACGTGTGAGTGTGTCTCAGCACCGCGAACGCAAATAGCAAGACGCGAACAAGTTACGCGAAAAAATACGTACCAGCCGTAACTCTCCGACCTCCCGCGAAAATAAAACTCCCGCAGAATTATCGCTCGTTAAATATTCTTCCCGTTAATGATGTCCTCGCCTAACTGTGCTCACCTAAATGTACTCACCTACTTGTACTCACATAATTGCCATCACCTAATTGTACTCGTGTAATTGTAATCACATAACTGTACTCAACCAATTGTAATCATCTAATTGCACTCAAAGAATTGTATTCAATTGTGCTTGTGAGGGGGTTGAGCTCTGGCTCTTTGGTCCCACCTCTCAACCGTTAATCAACTGGTCGTTACACTGTTGTTTTTGCTGTTTTGTACCCGTCATGTATCGCTGTAGCTGTTACGACGTTGTAGCCGTTACAGTACTGTAGTTGGTACAGTTTTATGGTTCTGTAGGCGTTACGGGGCTACTGTAGTTCTTTTTAACGCTGTAGTTACGATTTTGTATCCTTCACAGCACTGTAATTGGGCTTCTGCACCCTTCACAGCACTGTAATTGGGCTTCTGTACCCTTCACAGCACTGTAATTGGGGTTCTGCACCCTTCACAGCACTGTAATTGGGCTTCTGTACCCTTCACAGCACTGTTATTGGGGTTCTGTACCCTTCACAGCACTGTAATTGGACTTCTGCACCCTTCACAGCACTGTAATTGGGCTTCTGTACCCTTCACAGCACTGTAATTGGGCTTCTGTACCCTTCACAGCACTGTAATTGGGGTTCTGTACCCTTCACAGCACTGTAATTGGACTTCTGCACCCTTCACAGCACTGTAATTGGGCTTCTGTACCCTTCACAGCACTGTAATTGGGCTTCTGTACCCTTCACATCCCTGTAGTTAGGGGTTCTGTACCCGTTACAGCGCTGTATTTACGACGCTGAGGCCTTCCGTGATATACGTGCCTCTGAGCACTGTATCTCTCGCAATAACTGAGCTGATTTGCATAAATGAATACAGCAAGTCCTGAGAATAACTTAGGGCAGTGACTTTAGGTCCTGAGAATAACTTAGGCCAGTGACTTTAGGTCCTGAGAATAACTTAAGGCAGTGAATCTATAAGTCCTGAGAATAACTTAGGGCAGTGACTCTATAGATCCTGAGAATAACTTAAGGCAGTGACTCTATAGATCCTGAGAATAACTTAGGGCAGTGACTCTATAGATCCTGAGAATAACTTAGGGCAGTGACTCTATAGATCCTGAGAATAACTTAGGGCAATTAATAAATTACATTTATTAAACAGTTCACAAGCATGAAAACTTCCCAATTAACTGTTGTTATTGTTATAAACAGCCTCCTGGTATTTCGGAGCTCATTAACTGTTTAATAATTGTAAATAAAGCCGCCAAAGATTGAGAAAAGATGTACAGGTTCGTAAGTGCTGGCGTAAGTGCTTCGTGAATCTGGTTCATTGTCCATAGTTGTCACAGGGTCGTTTAACCAAGAGACAGAAAGGGGGGGGGGGAAAGGGGATTGTATTGAATGGTGATCCTATCCAATTATAGGGGATTACCGCTCCTAGTACGTTGGGTCTAACAGCTATTGTTAAGCCTCTCCTAATCCGCTGGTAAACCTCTCCTAGCACGAGGATCCTTATATTAAACCTCTCCAAGGGCCAGATTCACGAAACATTTACGCAAGCACTTATGAACCTGGGGCCAGATTCACGAAACATTTACGCAAGCACTTACGAACCTGTACATCTTTTCTCAATCTTTGGCGGCTTTGTTTACAATTATTAAACAGTTAATGAGCTCCGAAATACCAGGAGGCTGTTTATAACAATAACAACAGTTGATTGGCAAGTTTCTATGCTTGTTAACTGTTTAATAAATGTAACCAAAGCCGTCAAAGATTGAGGAAGATGTACACGTTCGTAAGTACTTGGGTAACTGCTTCGTGAATCTGGCCCCAGGTTCGTAAGTGCTTGCGTAACTGCTTCGTGAATCTGGCCCCAGGTTCGTAAGTGCTTGCGTAACTACTTAGTGAATCTGGCCCCAGATTCGTAAGTGCTTGCGTAACTGCTTCTTGAATCTGGCCCCAGGTTCGTAAGTGCTTGCGTAACTGCTTCGTGAATCTGGCCTTAGGTTCGTAAGTGCTTGCGTAACTGCTTCGTGAATCTGGCCCCAGGTTCGTAAGTGCTTGCGTAACTGCTTCGTGAATCTGGCCCCAGGTTCGTAAGTGCTTGCGTAACTGCTTCGTGAATCTGGCCCCAGGTTCGTAAGTGCTTGCGTAACTACTTAGTGAATCTGGCCCCAGATTCGTAAGTGCTTGCGTAACTGCTTCGTGAATCTGGCCCCAGGTTCGTAAGTGCTTGCGTAACTGCTTCGTGAATCTGGCCCCAGGTTCGTAAGTGCTTGCGTAACTGCTTCGTGAATCTGGCCCCAGGTTCGTAAGTGCTTGCGTAACTACTTAGTGAATCTGGCCCCTGGCCCCTGGGCCATAGCAGCTGGTGTTATTGTTAACTATGTTATCATTGTTGGCCATGTTAAATATGTTATTATTCCGAATAGTTTTAACAAAGCTATTGTTATATTGTTGTTGTTGTTTAAGATTCGCTACTTGGAACAAAAGTTCCAAGCAGCACGGTCTATGGTGAGCCCATTATTGTTATAGTTGCTAGAGGCTGAATTCATCTATGAAGTCAAAATATTCCTACGTTGGCTTTAAGTTCCACAGGCCTATTCAAGAATGAACTTCAACCCACATTCACAGCAAGAGACATATATACTACCTTAAGATAGGAGAGGGACACACTTGGAGCTAGGATATGTGGGCAGACTTAGAGCTGGTCAATAAGGCTGTTGGTATTCGCATCCTGCAGGCTCATATAACTCGGTCACCTTCATAGTCATTATAACTTCATGCAGGAACTTGTCAAGTAATGGCCCAACCATTTGGGCTGGAGGGTAGAACGACGGTTTTGCTTCACGCAGGTCGGTGTTCAAATCCCTACCGTCCATAAGTGGTTGGGCACCATTCCTTTCCCCCCGTCCCATCCCGAATCCTTATCCTGACCCCTTCCAAGTGCTATATAGTCGTAATGGCTTGGCGC